TAATTGGTTAAAATCTTCCTTTTCTAAAGTCTCAACTACGTATAGAGAGCACAGTGTAAATTTTTGAACAAGTTTTGCTGACAGAGGTATCTTTCCAAACCTGGAATTTGAAAAATAGTTACCTAAATCGACTTCTTCTATTTGCCGTAATAAATTTATTAGATTAATTTCGTTTATTTCGGAATTAAAAGTTTCATTCAGATATAATATATTTGTTTTATCCACTTTTGTTATTTGGTTGTTCACGTTACGTTTTATGTAAAACTTGCTGTCCATTAAATACTTTTATTTATCGCAACATTTCTTAATATGTTCACTTACAATAAAATAATTTTCTTATAATTTCTCTATTATATACTAATATGTAATTTACTCCTATTCTTAAAACTTAAAATCTCGTAACTATCCAAACAAAAAATTTAATTAGGTACTTAATTTTTATTTTTACTATATAATTTCTTTGATAACAAAATCCCTATATGTAATTTACTCCTATTCTTAAAACTTAAAATCTCGTAACTATCCAAACAAAATTCAACTACCTACCTAATTTTTATTTTTACTATATAATTTCTCTGATAACATAACCCCTATATGTAATTTACTCCTCTTCTTAAAACACAAAATCTCGTAAATATCCAAAAAAAAATTAAATTAAAATTAAAATTATAAGGTACCTATACATACATTTTCTAATCCCGTAATTCTTTCAATTCTTTTACTCTTATTCTTAATACTTAATATATATCATGTATATCGTTAATCTTAAATAATAAAAAAAAATCTCAATTATTCTTAACACGGCTACACTTTAATTTTATTATTTTCTTACGCTTCAATAAACCAAACTTAATAACTAATAACAAAATAAAAATCTAAACCAATCGTAAATATCTGTAACTTCAACTACTTAAGAGCTTCGGCGCCTCCACCAATATGTAACGTGGTCGGGGATGGCCCGTTAAATATAAGATATTCAGGGAAGAAATTAATTCTTTTGAATATATTTTTACCGTAGCTCGGGAGCACGAATGGTATTAGGATCTTAATATTACAAATAAATAACGATTGATCTAAATTATTATTAATATAAACAAATTATTTATTATAACTTACAATTTACGAACAAAGTTACCAAAAATGTAGGATTGTACGGAGTTCAGTCGCACGTGATGGACTCGCGGAGAACTGGTATTCTCTTACATAGGGATATTGGCCGGAGCCTTACAATCATAAAATATATAATATGTGTCACCTAAACCGGAGGGGCTTAATATATTATTATAGTCAGCGCATAATATGCCTAATGTGCATATTATGATGCTTATAAAATAAACGTAATGATGTAACATACGTTACACTTCTATTATTATTACGATCAAGAAGATAGGTTTGATATTTGTTCAATAATTTAACAAACAAATTTTCGGATAATATCGTATCAAAAAATAACAACTATTTATAGTTTTATTGTGGTATGACTAAATTCAAAAATAGTAACATTACAATATTACTATAATATCATAATTTCGTTTGAATTTGATTATTTCAAAAATATAAAATATTTTTAACATATTGTGTAATTAAGTCATTGTGATGCGGAAAATATATAAGATATCTAAATCATAATATTGTTTATGTGTTAAATAACTGGTAACTACTCTGCTGTAAGGTTGAATTTATTTTTGGTGAAAAAATTACATTTATTAAATTATATTATTACCTATTCAAAATTATAATTTAAGTAACAGTGTCATATTTTGTAACGGAGCAAACTAACAAAAACGGCCCTTCTCAGGGCCACCACATTTGACATCTACAATATAGTCACAGACCTACCGTGACCAAAAAATGAACGCCCGACCAATCAGAAATAGGCGACGCTTAAAGGCTGATTTCTAAATACATATTTTAAGTACAAACAAGAAAAGGATATCTATGAATAGAAGAGATGACACCGATTACGTAGATACCATTTTGACCTTTGTAAAACAAATTCCGGCTAAATTACAAAAGAAACCGTGCCGACTGTAAACACACCAATCAGCATACAGGTTTACTAGTCGGTACGGCGACGGGTATATATACGGGTGCATGCTCATACAAAATCAACAGTCTTCTTCCACTTCTTCATATCTTCAACATCCATAGAACGAAGAAAAGAAGAACCGAAGACACGAAGAACCAACACCAACCAGCACGAGACTCCAGTCAAGAACGCCGACGAAGCCATTAATACCGCGACGACGATATTCGGCGTACGAGACGGCACCTGACGGCTGCAGCAATCCGACTGCCGCTCCGAATACAACTGTCAACGAAACGACGAAGACACTCGTGATACGAGTCGGCAAGAAGCGGCAATCACCGAGCACCGGTCCTGATCATTCCGTGACCAAGACCGTCAACATAGCCGTGAGGTCTCCACTACGTACGGAGGTAACCAACATCGACGGACATATTATACCATCGACAGCGTTGTTAAGACGTACCGGCAGCCGCCGACCTACCATCGCGGCTAACTGAAACGGTTCTTTTCAGAACCAACACCTTACGTGTACCACCCTCCGTGCGCCTGTTCAGGCGGCATTGTGAGATAGGACCTCACTGAACACGACTTGCTAGAGTCCGTGAACGAGTGGTTCTAGCTCTCCCTTTTCAATTATATAATTATTCATGTCAAATTGATAACACCCGATATTTGTAATTTGGTCGCATCTCTCGGGTCCGAAACCGCCCGACCCGGTCTGCTTACTCGAGCCAGCCGTGCGGCCCGGTCAATCCCTAACCACTGTAAATAATTTATTTTGAACATTGTACAATAAACTTTATGGTACCGTAAACAATATTCTTATTTAATAAAAGGAACAGTTTGACGAGCATCGGCGCACTGTTTCAATTTCAAGATACTACGATCAATATTTGTAGAATATTAACGAAAATCGCTGAAGGTTAAATCACTGTGATAAATTTCACAATAAACTTTTCAATGAACTGTGATTCAATAGTTGAACTGTGATTCAATAGTTGAATGAATCTAGTATTAGATTTTCAAACATAAGGTTGTACAAATTATATGAATTGTATTCTGGGTATGCATGATAATTTGCAATTTTGCTATCTTAATTTTTATTTCAGTTTTTTCGCATCCTGATATCCTGATTAAATTAAGATTGGTATAAGGTATAAACTATAAAAGAATAAATAACATGGCCATAAATTTAAAACAATTTTGGCGCAATTCTACTGGTACATTGTGATTTAATACGATAAATTTCTGTAGACTTATATTAAATAAAATTATAAGTTATAACACCTGGGATTACTGGTTTGAACTATCTACCTAAAATCTATCCTTAATTATTATACACGTGTCCATTTAATATCTACGTCCATTTTATTTTAAATATTTTTGATTTTCGATTTTGTGACCATGTTAATCTTAACTAAACTTAATAAACTATTACTACTAAACTATAATAATTATGTAAATATTTTTTGTTTTTTTTTTAAGTCTTTAATGACCAGTGCTGAGATTATCTAGATAAATGTATCTTCCCAAAAGAAAAAACATTATAAATAAATGAGAATTGTTCAACGAAATGTCCATAGATAATTTATATACATGTCTCGTAATTAATCGGCTTCACCCGTAAAACAAAATTATTTTAAAACAGTATAAACTGCATAATATGGTATTAAGAAGTATTAAGAAGTATTATGCAGTAGTGTGCAGTAGGTAGTATTAATTTTCTGTGAGTTGGTAATACGATAATTTAAGCAAATTATAAAAAAAACAAATTTAATGTTGTACCTGTGTAATAATTATTAAAAATATTACAATACATGGCTATTATTCACTTATAAGTCAATAAAAACGCAGATAAATAACGTAGACAGATGTGAATTGGTGTAAATTGCTTAAAATTAATCTAAAATTAACTTTTTAACTAGTTAATGCTCCCCTTTGATATTAATATAGTTTATCGTTTTTATTTGTTTAGTCTATAATATACTTTGGTAGTTCACGGAATAACAGCATTTCATATTTTAATGGTAGCATACATATAGATATGAATCTGACGATGCAGACATTTCCCCTCTATTTTTTTTTTAAAGTTTACTATTTAATAATATAATAATTTAATTTAATATGAATATTATATTTATGCCTATTGTCTAATATTTGATAAGTATTTTATTTGAAAATAAAAAATGTTTTTTTTTATTTAAAAAAACAATTTCAGATTTAATAATAAATAATATTATATTATTAAATTCAATATTATTAATCAGTAATAAACTTTGGAAAAAATATTGGGAAAACATTATGCACCGGAAAAATAGTTTCGGGCATCTTTGTTTTATTACGCGTCATTCCAGACAAGTGTCATTTTGAAAACTTTATTACTATTTTTTACAAATCATATAGGACTATTTCAGGTATATGTATATCATTATAACTTATAATATAATATATGGAAATTAATGTACTTGAAATAAGAAAACTAAAAAATTCATCGTTTTCCTCAATCGGTATTATATATTTTAATATGTAATACTTGTGTACCAGCCAAATAAGTTTACAAAACATAGGCAAATGTTTTTTTTAAGATCATCACAATCACGAAATCGAAACTGAAAAATATTTAAAAGAAAATGTACGTAGGTATTAAATGGATATATGTATAATATTATAATCGGGGACAGGTTTACGCGGTTCAATTCAAAACCAGTCATCCCAAGTGCAACAACTCATAATATGTCCACAGAAATGTACCGTATGAATCTTCACAATTTAGAACTTTTTAATTTATCATCTTGAATTTATCGTTTATACTTTATACCATTCTTAATTTATTCAGATGTCGAAACAACTGAAATACAAATAAAGACAGCAAAATCGACTAGGCGGTGGCACTACGCGCCGCCACCCTCATAATGGTAACCGACCATCGGGTAACCGGTCGTCGACCAAAATGCGTCCCTCAGTTGCTGCATCATCCTCTGCATTTACTCTTCGCCGTCCGCCTTGACCCGACGGATAGCACTTCCGGTTCGGAACTTGCCATGACCTTCCTTGCTCGCGACTGAACTACTGACTGTTGCGCAACAGGCCACAGCGTCGGCGGTCCACCAGAAGATCGCGACAACGAGAAAGGCGACGGTGGCGGCGAAACACGATCGGAAGGTATACTCATCGCTTGCTCACACTTTTTAGTTACCTATGAATTATGATTATTATTTCTATCATGTTGGGTTTTACGAATCATCGATATTATTATTAAATATATTATGCCCGAGGGGGAAATCGCGTAAATTATAAACAATAGTATTATAATATAGTGTACAATAAAGTGCCTACCTAAAAATCTATTTTTTTTTTTTACTCAGCCGTTTTCACGCGATGTTTTTTCGTTGTGATATCACCAATATTTTAGAAAACTGTAGAGAACAGTTTTTTGGGGAATTCTTTTTATCACTAGGTTTCTTTTTATTATTCAATAAGTATAGTTATACTTTTCCTTATTTTGTATTCTTCGTTTGAACACTTTAGTTGTCATATTTATAATTGAATAATATCAATATATTATTGTACTCGAGTTACGAACAAAGTTATAACTAACAAAACTACAAAAGTAATAACACACTAATATACTGATACTGGTAATAATTATAATTTAACAAAGTACATTAAATAAAATATAATAAATTAATACAAAATAAGGAGATTTAATAAAGAGATAGTCGAGAACGAAATGAAACAAAGAATAAATACCTACGTGAAGTCTTGAAGTCATGAATTAGCGCCATAATGAAATGCGTTGCGTACACGAAATGAGGTGGGGGAACCGGTGTCATAGGATTCTCTTAGGTACCCTCAATAATTTTTACCTCAACCGGTAAATATAATATCTTAGGTTATATTTACTTCTGGGTGATAAAATAAAACTTGGGTGAAATCAAATATTTAGACGTAGAATAACGTTTTTAGTTAAATAATTTTTTTGTAATATAAAAATACAGTCAACTCGCGATATAACGAATATCGATATAACGAAAATCTTGATATAACGAATAAAACTACCGGTCCCTTGAAAATATCACGGTATAATATAATTTCGATGTAACGAACTTTCGATATAACGAATTTTTTTCTCGGTCCCTTGAAGTTCGTTATATCGCGAGTTGACTGTATTACTATTTGCTATTTTGAACTTTTAAAGTATGCCAAATGTACTGTTTTAGGAAAAAGTTAATTCAACCTACTGTTCCACTACTGTTAATAGCAAATAATATCATAAAATATTTCTATAGAACGTATTGTAGCTAGTCTTCGCCTATAGGACCTTTGTTGCCTGATGACTGATGGTATACAATGATTTTGTATCATTGAATCCAATTTTAACACATAATTTACAATGAACCACACGACACCTACAGGCCACAGTGCAGCAGAGAGTTCAATTGCCCACTTTTTATTTTGTATTTTATTAACAATATAATATGTTTTTTCAAAAATAACACAATTATATACAATTCAAAATAACTGTTGTTGTATAAACATTGTACGTTTTTATGTACGAGTAAGTAACTCTACTCGCATGTTCTTAAATATGTTATTCTATTAAAACCTACATAAATATAAGAGGTTATATAAACGTGTGTCCGGGGAAACAGAAAACACTTTATATATAAAAAAATCCAGTACACTATTAAGTATATACATTGTTTTGAATGTAGTTTGAACAAAATGTGAATCTAGACTATTTTATTAATACATTCCATTGACTTCCATTTTTTTGAATTTATTCATATTATTGCGTTAAATTATTTTAGATTCTGATTTTCTTGGTCTGAACATTTTTATTATAATCCTCAGCCAAGTTAACAACACAGTACCTACAATATCATGCCGAACTCATATATATATGTACTGGCCTAAATTTGGTTTAAAAACCTCAAGTTTAAAATGGTTCAAAAGTTATGTAGTAGGTAGAAAACAAGAAGTTAAAATTAATGGTATTACAGGCGACGAAATGTTAATAACTTGCGTAGTACCCCAAGGTTATTTTTTCATTTATAATATAGTTTTGTAAATGAAATTCATGTATCATAACTGCAATTCAACAATATATAGTTCATTTAGTTTACTTAATTTATATAATATGAATTAATGTATAAAATATATACTATATTTATTACTGTATCGTTTTGTCATATAGCAACACTCTACCAATAACACAATAAGCCTGGCTTAAAGTTGGTAGATAGTATGTATTGTAAATTTTCAATTTTTTATAATAAATATTTCTTTAATAGAAAAAAAATCGATTTCAAACGTATTATTAATTTTATTATAGTTCTCATTCATCCAATTTTGGATTCAAAATACAAGTTTAAAGTTCAAAATGTTTAAAAACATCTATCAATTCGAAAAAGGTCCTTAAAATACGAGTTCCTATTAAAATGAAATTTTTTTGTGGTCGCTATAAATAGGTACCTAAAAGAGTTATCCAAATTTTAATTAAAGAAATGTATGATCCAAATGTCTAGTTTAATAACAAACAAACAAAATGTTCACTTAATATTTATTAATGATTTTACTTAAGTAACTATATATAATATATTAAAGGTAGTGAATTTTTGAAATATTTACTTAAACATTATCGAGTCAATTAATGATCCAGTTGGAATGTACCTAGTCAATATAAGATTTTTAAAAAGAATTTATCAGCTATTAACTTCGGGTTTAATCTTTATCAACATTATATAGCAAGTACCTACTTAGATAAACATGCATAAACATACTTAAAAATTCTTGGTTAAGTTTGATACCGGTTTCAAAGTTCTGGGTCAAAATGGATTGGTTACGTGAAGTTGACATAACTTTTAAATTTTCGGTTTCCATTGAAACTTAGGAACTGCAAATTCTAAACATAGACTTGCGAATATTTGAAAATAATGGAATAGATTTTAAAACAATTATAGTATTTATGTGTGCCAACTTCATAAACGTAACACAAGCAAAGGGAATTGCAGCACAAACAAACACAAACGGAGCACAAACGAAAATCCCGGGCTTATATTCAAAATATTAAATGTGCGTGCCGGGGACAAGGTATTTACATATTGATAATTAAAAATAATATTTCCATAATCCATAAATTTATTTATCGTATCTTTTATTACCGTCGTGTAATGGAATTTCGTTTGCGGCAAAAACCACTACTGCGTTATGATTTATGATTCAGACGTCCAGTAGATACTTACTTATAACTTAAGCATACGGCCATACGGGCGACGGGTATTATTGTAACTTTGTACAATTGTGACTTGGTACTAATGCAGTATACATGTATATAGGTATATCGTACATCGTAACAAAAATTCATTCGTACAGTAGATAGGTTTTGAGGTAAATGATAATAAATTATTATTCATTATACCTTATGTCTTAACTGGACAACTGGTTTTCGATGCCTTTCGACGAGTCTGTTTAATAAATTCACGTTAGCATCTTTTGCACACATATATATACTAGCTATCATCTGCAATAGCAGCTAAACAATTACAAACTATTAAACTTTTTGTATCACCTTTTAAATAAAATCGTTGATTATAATTACTAGTATGTATAACCAATGGGCAATGTGGTAATAGGTTCTCATAAAAGTTATTTTATAGATACGCTGTGAGAAAATGTAGGCACGTGCGTCTACAATGATCCATGTTAATATTTTGAAGCACAACCGGTTACAAAGAAATGTATTTATATAAATATAATACCATATTATATACATTATAGGTACCTGTTGTATAGGTATATCGTGTAAAAGTAATATATTACATAAAATGCTTACCTATTTCTGAAATAGAATTATATGTGCAAGTATTTAGGAGGTACACTATATGGTTTAGATTGTATTTGCGACGAATATTGAAACCAATGTAAATTTGGTTTTGCTAAATCTTGAAGGATGTGTGGTTAGTATTATTCTCGTTTTAATTATATCATAACTCATAAATCTCAAAACGATACTTGATCTGAATAATTATTTATTTATTGATTTAACACTATATGAAATATTCTCAATGTTATTTATACTACAGATACAAAATAATAATTAATGTAACATTATTATATTTATGGTTCAAAATGTATTTGTGTAGAAATTACATTTTATTTATTGAAAATAAGAAAAAGTTAACAGCTCATAAATTAAGCATGCTAATTGTATAAGTAGTACCTAAGTTAACATTCATTAGACACATGGATTAATTTATTATGGCATTAATATGTATATACCTACGTATTTAATTATAGAATTGCTCTTGGCACAAAACTTGTTGCTTATATTTTATTTACAACATACTTTTTGCAGTTTATTGTAAATAAATAACAGTAACCATTGAAGTTCAAGATAAAGATCAATTAAACAATTTAAAAAAGTTTTCGTGATTTTATTAGATTTATCCATTTATTTTATAAATATATACTATGTAATAAGAACAAAGATAAATTGTTTGAGTAAAATATAACATAGCTTATATACAATTGGATAAATCGTATTTTTTGATTACCTATTAACTATTATTTTATTTTTATAATAACCACAAAAAACATAAACGTAATATTCAAAGGCACACAAATAATGACTTTTATGTGCCTTACAATCTAGAGTCTTAATATATAATATATAGTTATATCTAGATTCTATATACATATTGCATTTAAAAAAAAATTATAAATCATTATAACTTTTATGAGCACTGCCCACTGCCGATTTTATGACGACCCAGAGATATTGTTCATTTGTGTCGGCTCACTGTGATCCATGGAACCTCTAAATATTTATAAAACTATATAAAACTATAAATAAAACTATTTCAAATAGTTTTGACTTTAATGAGCACTGCCCAGTGCCGCTATTGTGACGACCCAGAATTAAGGTTAGTTTGTGTCGGATCACTGTGATCCATTGAACCTTTAAACTTTTTTCTTAGGTCCATAATAACTTGATGCTTGGCAACAAATGTAATAAATATTAATACACCTTGTAAACTGCTAGCGACATAAATAATGTTCCATTTTGTCCCTTCCATTCGTAATATAATAGACAGTACCGTAAACAAATATGGGATTCCGATAATCAGAAATAGTTTGATGCTCATTACAAATCTGTCAAAAATAAAAAATTTAAATTTATATTAAATCAAATGAAACGATTTCAAACATTTTTTTACCAATAAATCAAAAGTTGTTTAGAAAATTTATAATAACTAGTAGAGAAGATGGAAACTACAAACTTCAAATTTATCAAACTTTCAGATTAATTAGTAATAACGTCATGTTAGCTATATAATACATTGTACTATAGTACCAGTTAAATATATAGATTTTTCATTATGTTCATATTTTTATAGGCTTATTACTTATTTTTTAACTAACCTCGCAGAGCTGCATGTTTTGATTAGGTAGTAAATAATGTGTAAATAATGAATAACTGTATTATTATGATGGTACCAAAAGTAGTGAACAGACTATATAATTAGGTGTGTGCCTCATGTGAATTGATAGTACCCTACTGCGTTCTTACTTCTGTTTGTAAATAAGAAAATGTTCTGTTTTTGAATCTGTTGGGTTGAATGTATTAAGTTCAGATTTAACTCTTGAACAATGAATAGCAGTCAGCAAAAACAAAATTAAATTGGCAGCCAGCATAACAAACACTGGTAACAGGATGAAAAAAAAACCCTCGTAGTCAGACATATCTAGAAAAGTATTAAATATAAATTAATAATTATATATTATAAACCATGAAATATACAATTTTAATATAGAAAACTGGTGACGCTGATGTTTATCCAAAGTTATATCACAAAATGTTAAACTTTATACAAATAAATAAACTTTATTATTTTTTTCCCCTTTATGAATCCAACAAAACTTTTTTTCACAACCATAAAAATAAGTAAATAATGTAAAAATTAACTGTTACAAATAAAATATATGAGTAACAAATATTTTGTAATCAAAATTAAACTAATATTTGTAAATTGTAGGCAACAAAGGTAGGTATAATACCTACTTTTCTTTAAAAAATAATCTGTTAAACTACTTATTATGGTTGTATGTATTTGTGTTTTGTGTAGGTAAATAGATAAAAAACAATATAGGTTTAGTTATACTCATAATCATACCAATAATTAATATCTTCAAGCAAAAAATTTAAACAAGTCATTTATACTAGATTGTATATAGGTACCCAACCGTACACCACTCACTCAAAACATTTATAGAGGACACTGTAGTTAGGGTTCGGTGCCACTGTTGAGAACGAACCCAACGATTAAGGTAACAAAGGTTCATTTCATTTGAATAAAATAACTAAAAAATGCATTTTTTTAATGGGCAATTAAGAAGTTTATGTATTGAAAATCAAAATAAACTTTTATTTTCATTTCGAGTTTAAAAGCGAAGTTACTGTAATCTTACATCTCAGTGCATTACCATGCAGTGGTGTAGTATTTAAAATTGTTCACAGAAACAGAAAATTGTCTTAATTTACTGGTGTAAAATAATTTAAAAGAGCATATTATATATAAAACTTTGATTCAATTCTGAGAATACTTAAAAATAAAAATAAAAATAGTGGCATTCAAATTGTTGTCACTGCTTGCATATAAAATATTCACGCTCAATAACCTTTTTTTAGCGTATACAAAATAACTTTTATTGGTTTTTTAGTTTTGAATATTTTTGGAGGAGGAATAACATTTTTCTTCACCTGGAGGCTGGAATGATTTAACTCTTATGTAAACTGATAACAATAGTTTAGAAAGATTTGGGCATATTCTAAATAATTTTGTATTTAAAACGATAGCTATTCGTAAATTTTTGTGCACGAAATTTTTTTTTTTATATCATATTACTTTGTGCAACAGAAATATATTGATTTCTTAAATAGCTTATAGAAAAAGTTTAAGCATTTTGTTGGAATAATATTTATGCAGTATAACATATTAGCATATTATTTAAACAGAAAACCTCGTTTCTTAAGTAAATTCTTAAAAACACATTATAGGTATTATAATTTATGTTTATTGCCAATAAATATACATAGTGTACACCTATCGTATAAATACAATTTACACAAATATTTTAAGATGTTCTCTAGGCTCTAGCTGAATGTATTGTAGTTTATTATGCAAATACCTACTCGTTTCAAGGCAAATAAACCTGTCTACCTAAGGTCATATACACTATGATGGTTAACAATTAATATATGTGTCAAACATTAATCAATTCGATATCTGAGATTTTAAAATTTGTAAGTCAAATTTTTCTCAAAATCGTTTTATATATCTATTGGGTTTTTGATTCAGCAAAACATTTTAAGTCAATATCATAATATTAAAACATTTTTCTTTTTATACTCGAATTTTTGTGTTTTTAGCGCACACAATATATAAAGTCCTAAATTAATGAGACATATAAGAAACATTTTATCATGATCTAAATGTTAAGCGGTCAAATATATTAAGTCCATGTTTAAGATAATATTGAATTTGTTAATCTATTTATAAAAAATGAATATGTCCGAAAGTAGTTTTTTTTTAACTTTTTTAATTTATGCCGTTTTAATGATGATACACTGATACGTCATAATATTGTTTTAATCTGTGTGACAAACCTGTCATTTGTGTGTAGTTGTGTCTTATGAGTTTCTTATTTTATTTTAATTAGTTAATATAATCAATACAATTATGAAACATATTTCAACATTGGTTTGATACCTTACAGTATTATTATATATTTTTAATTAACATTTTTATTATTGTGAGTAAAAGACGTTTTTCATTTTTATTTGCCAAGGATATTTAGTTTTTGTTTTATATTTTGATGAGTAAATTATACTTTTTCTTTAATTTTTAGTTTGTATTTGTTATCATTATACATGTACTGAAGAACTGATAAAATAAAATAATTTTCTCTTTAGCATTGGTCAATAAACTCTATTGGGCATAAAAATTATAACTATGATTATGTATGACGTATAATTATATTTCTCATTTTCAAAAATGTGATATCTTTAATTAACATAAAATAATAATATAGAATGAGTTGTATTTGACTAAAAATTTGATGAAAAATTACACTTCTTTATATTTCCCATTGAATAAAAAATTCCAACTTTTTTTAACCTTTTTAGTTTTTACAACAAATTTATATACCTATAATATATTTAATTTTGAATACAAAAAAATTAGTCTTAAGTACATTTTAAACTATTTATATCATTAAATAATTAGAATCAAGTCCCATTTAAAGTCTAAGAAACATTATAATTAAGAAAAAAAAAATTAAGTTAGTAAAAATGTTTAAGACATTAAAGTTATCATTATTTAATCTACAGCATATTTTAAAAATAAATAAGTTGCAAAACAAATATCTACAACACAAATTATTTGGCGTAGAAACATTTGAAATCTCAAAAATGCTCTCCTGTAAAAGTTAGTGTTTGTGATATAAACTGTTGGCCTCTTAGCCATCGAATTTTACACGTTTTTAAGGTAGAAATATATTATGGTTTTTATTAAATATACAATATTCCAGTTCATTACAAATATAGGCAGTCCTAAGGGTGCATGGTGCAGAGCCTGTGCTATCGAATGAAGTCCTAAAAGACACGCTATTTTAAGAAATGTAATTGCATCATGATCATTCGGTCATAAATTTACAACATTGACATCATTGTCTACTACTAGATGGAATTGTAGGGCCCAAGCTGTAACTACTGTAAAAACAATTATGGATCTATTTAACTACCTATTATAACTAATAATTATAACAATTTAATAAACTCGCTGTTTATAAAAATAATAAAATAAAATGAAAATTCCCAGGAATAAAATTGAATGAAATGCATGGAATATTATTATATGTGTGTGTGAGTGTGGTATAGGAATGTACAGGGGTGGATTGGGTAGCCACGGCTCTTCGAAAAATATTTTTCTATCAGCCTATAATTTGTTATGGTGGCCCAATAGCTCATATACGAGCCACATATTAATACTAATAAATAATAATGACATTATCGCATTCAGCATAATATTATTATATAGCTGTCATACAAGTTGTATTACGGCATTGCGACCATTATATCCTACCAGCCCAAAATGTTAGCGGCCGTTCAAGATATTCTCGAATGCTAGAACGGCCTACCCGTCTCTAGGAATGTATGTGAATTTTGTATTAAATGTGTAATTAAAAGTGCTGCACCGAAAGTAAAATCATGGGACCGTACCTATCTGATCACATATTATATTGTGGTCATAAAATATTAGCACTTACATCGCGCTAAAATTTACAATATTTAAATCTGAAAAAATAAAATAAATTTATTTTAAAATAATTGTGTGAACTTACGGCAGTAAAAGCAACCATATCCGGTTACTTCAAAAATGGGTGCTAAACCCTGTAGAGATTCGTCATGTGAGATTAGGAAAAAAAAACCAGTACATACGAAAATACTTGGAAGTCCCCAACAGTAAGAATAGTACATAATGCTACGTATTGATGTTGATGTATTCCTGTTTCTTGAAATGTTGTATCTAAATTAAAAAAGTGTTGAAAATATTATAATATGCAGTTATATGAACTGTTATGATTTGCACTTTTAGATCGTAGAAGCACCACCTTATATTATAATCTGGTTTACTGGACACTGGTATAATGCATTAGGTAATAGGTAGTATATTATATAAGCCAGATTATGAATTAGAAATAAAATATTTTGGATTTGCTTTCAATTTTGCTTATTGCTACCTATTATTTTTTCTGATTGCAATTAAAAATAGTAAATTGATGTTATAATTTGATTAATTTTATTATTTTTATTTATTTATTTTTGTTTTGTTGCACAATATTAATTAAATCATTTCTGTTCTTTATTTAGAAAAAATCTAACAATAAAATATAAAACATAAATTTCTTTTTCGATTAAAAATTTCACTTTTACATTTTTACGATTTTAATTTTGATTTCTACCTACGAGCCGTATGCGCGTTCCATATATATACTCGGAGGTTAAAGAATAGTAAGAAAACTAAATTTCTTACTGATGAACAATTATTATTGATTGTTTGGCTTTTGTTGAATTTGAATTTTGAATTAAATTTGTTTTTACAATTTGATTCGATTTTTTAATAAAAATTATCAAACGATTTTTATTTTGATTTAACTTATTGATTTTAAAAGTTTCAATTTTGATATTATTACTATTGATTTCGTAGAGGAAATTTATCGATATCTATAATCGAACAATAAACTACATAGTTATATAGCAATAATTGGTAATTTAATAAATATTCTATACGCATAATTAACTATAATATTTAATAACATATTTAAATATACTCCCTACTAGATTGGTACTATGTACCTATTCGATTATAATATTATTCATGACTTGTTTCTTTTTTTGATACATTAATAATGTTTAGGAATTTCACACACGACTTTATTTTAATAATTGCTATTTACATACTTGTTTTCCGATTATTATGTATTCCAAACGATAAGTACCTATAACCTATATGAAATATACGACAGTGGGAAGTTCTTGACAAGTTGGGGGGGGGGAATGAAAATATTTTCCATATTAATATACATATCTTATTTTTTTACTGTTGATAGGACCATGATCTGTAACTTTATACTTAGAGATATTTACTTTTATTGTATATTTCATATAGTTATATACCTACTTATACTAATTTGCAGCTTAGAAGCTTATAACACCACATAAATATACACGTTATTGTCTTACAAATTTTTTTACTATATTATGTAAGAATATAATTTACAATTTACATACCTTATCCTCCAATAAATATCCAAGCATATCACGTTTAACCAGCATAATGTTGAAATAAATACAAATAAAGTAATATAACCTAAAATTACACTTTAAATTAATCCAAAATATAGAAACAAATAGAATAATAATTAATAGTAGGCAGTCCTGTAAAGTATTTAAGTAAAAGTATTTGAGTAAAAGTATTCAAATACTTTTTTAAGTATTGAATAACTTTTTAAATACTTTCAGGATGAAGTATTTTGAATAGTATTTTAAATACTTTTTTTTTGTATTAAATACTTTTTGGTATTGAATACTTTGGTTTTTTATTTCGAACATTTTATTTTTATTCAAAATAATTGGTTGGAAAAATATTATTGTCAACTAAAATAATAGAATAATAGTTTTATTTAATATTTTGTATTTCTGTGTTAGCCGTAGCCCGATGGTTTGTGAAAACCAGATTTCTAAAAATAGTTATTGAATAACAATATTCCCTTTAAACTATAACTATTAAATTACCTACTACTGTTTGTATTACGATAATTAGAAACCCACTTAAAAAACCAAAAGTATTTGAAAAGTATTCCAAATACTTTTTCAAAGTATTTGAGTAGTATTTGAAATACTATACAACTAAAGTATTTGAGTAGTATCTTAAATACTAAAAAAAAAATGTATTTGAGTATTTACTCAAGTACTTTTTAAAAGTATTCTTTACAGGACTGATAGTAGGTATATGATATAATGCGAAAGCTATTACATGTTTAACGATAAGACAAATAATAACAGAAATATTTATATTTATTGTTGTTTAGTTTTTAGATGCATGGACAATTAGTTGCGTGAAGTTGACCCAGGTTCGTCATTTCAGTTTTACTTGGCCAGTTGTAACATTTAACCAGGCCAATTTTAACATTTAATATTTAAACAACAACCATGCCGTTTAATGTATGTTAATATTATCTAATTCTCTTTTATAATCCTAATTAAAATTATTTATTTCAAATGATTTATGTTGTTATTTTCAAATAGCTAGCAGTTCAATGTATTAAATGTATTAGCAACTAAAACAAGTAGCAACTAGCGGCCAACAGATATGCCATTTTACTACTATTTGGAGAAATAAAATCAAATGCGTTCAAAAGAATTCTTTTTAATAAATGTAACTAAAAAATTAAACACTGTCCAATATTCATACAAAATAAAACATTATTAATTATTTTTAAATTTAATTAATTTAAATCAGTGGATATTTACGGGTTCTAATATATTATCTATGCTATGCGCCTATGCTTACAACACTATAGCTGATACCAACTATCTTATATAATAAAACGCATTTTACAAGGTCATCAAATAGGGATAAATTTGATAATAAAGCTGATAAAGCTGATAAAAAAAATAAATTTATATTAAATGAGTGAAAATTGTTTTAATTTTTAATAGTTATCATATTGGCGCATAGGAGCATTAATAAAGGGCCAATTATTTACTGTATTATGTTAGTGATGCCCTCGCACACGCCCCCCCCCCAAATGACGCCCCCGAGTTGCCCACCCTCTACATTGCCATTTTCACTTCAAACCTTCATTAATATTTTATTTAGATAAAAATTGGAACTTAATTTTCCGAATTTGGAATTTCATACTTTTCCAGTAAAATGTTATGTCGGTTGGCCGTTTTAATGATGATTTCTTAAGTTCCGTTTATCTTGATATATAGTTAAGCCCAGGGGAATCCACTAATCCACCCTCCAACCTTTATACAAGGTGGGCCGAATCTGAAATACTCTTCGGAATCACCGGCCAATAATTTAAGAAAAATTGAATAATTGTATTGAGGTGAAAACATCTATATAGCTTAATTATGAGTTTAGGATTAAAGAATTACAACACAATTTGAACGAGTATAAATTTGGTGAAATGAACTATCAATTTTTAATTTACTAACGGTTTTCATTACTCTATTGCAGGGAGTTTTTTTGCATAGTTGGTAATTTGTAGACTTAAACGAAAAGTCAGATCTGATGATGATTTTAGTGGAGGGCGAATACCACTAATTATCCATGCATCGGAAAAAGTACCAATAGATAGCTATAGGTTAAATATTATACATAATAAGGGCGTAGAAAAAACATAAGTACAGTTTTTGAAAATATACTTGAAATTAAATCAGGTCCTGGGCATGAGCTAGAATGTTAGTGAATTAAGTGAATTAAAAATATTAAGTAGGTTTATTGTACACGAGTGCAAAGGAGATTGGAGTACTTTTGGTTTTTTTTGCTGCATATAATTTAATTTAATTAAATTATACACATTAATAATAACAATAAAAACATTGAATTAAATGTAATTTTAAAACTATAAATTAAATATAGTTATAATATAGCCATATTGGTAGTACTGTGACAATAAATAGTAGATCATTATGGTTGGTACCTACTAAATTTATGAAAATTGATAGTTAAGATAATAAGAAAAAAGACAAAAAATATATATAAAAGTATATTAAAATTAAAATAGAATATGCACGATTTGTAATAATTAAACATTATAGAAATACATTTAAACATTTTAATTATTATTATGTTTCTTATAAGACAGGCATAAAATAAATGAAAACCAATAGTGAAAAAAAAATATTTTCATAATTACCTATTAGCAACATAATTGATAGTTAGACGAGGTTATCTTTTTCAAAACAATAAATAGAGTGACGTTAATTTAAGTTAATATTCAATCCATAAGAATGACACCAATCGTTAGTATTATCATTTATCACTATCCAAATTATTTTGTAAGAGTACATATTGCGTTTTCTTGAACATTGCTTAATTTTAAATTGTGTTGCACCGTTAGGAAAGAGCAAAATATAAAAATAATTTAAAGCTAAAACAATATCATTAATAAAATATTAACCCGGACACCTGACCCGACGAAATACTATCAAAAATAAAATTAATATATCTAACAAAATGTGATATATTAATTAAAATGAGTGTAATAAAGATATGAGAATAAGAAAAGTCAATTTTTTTCAAAATTAAAAGCCAGTGGTAAATTCGATCAAACGGCTTTTCAAAATCAGCATATTAAGTCTCTTGATTATTTGAATATTAATTTACATGTAAATTTTATAATAGCTCACTTATCAAGTTGGTAATTATAGGATTCTTTTACAAAATTAATATTGCTGTTATAATGCCCATACTATATGGTATTATTGAAAAGAGAAGAAATAGTTTGAAATTAGCTAGTATAGTAATTTTAAAGAAATTGTTGTGATAGATATATAGGACGATAGTCATAAACTATAGATTTAATATTAACCTTTTTTTTAATGACATTTTTAAATATTTTTGGGGGATTTTTTTATCCCATCGATTGGTTTTTTAACCATGGATTTTATTCCTGTTGATGCATGACTGATGTATTGCCGCATGGGTACTGCAGCGTATTTTGTCCTCATATATTTTTTCTCAAATCAATTTATCACATATTATCCAGCTGAGGTCTTAATAGAGAATTAGATATATTGGTATATCAAGTGGCACGTGGAAATGTGGTAGGAATTAATCAAAAAATGATAACAATGCAGGTGAAACATACCGTATAGAAGGCACTTCTCCTTTTTTGTTTCTTTTCCCACAATCATTTGGCAAATGACGCAGATGCACGACACGAACTGGTGGTACAAGTAGCACTTGACGTAGTAGTTTCGGATGTTCCGGAAGCTGGGCAGTGTGGTGTAAATTAGCAGCGTTAGAGCCAGGCACACGGCAGACACCACGTAACTTGCCCGAAAGAAAATGGGAATCGAGCTGGCACGTGTACGTTCGACCATGAACACGGTGTCAGCGTTGCATATGTACGCCACTATGGTGTCGGTCACCTGAGGAGGTACATTCGGTAAGTTCATACGCGAGAGTCATAGCAGGCACGAAAAATACATACGTTAATTTCCTACACTATAGAAAAAGGTACATAATATCATGTAAGTTCCGACACGGTATAAAACAGAAGGTAGTTTCTTTAATACGTTCACGGCTGAAAAGGGTACTTGGGTATGTAAGTTTTTGATGGAATTCGGTTCAGAGATAGATTAGGCCGTGGAGGGGATAAAATAAAGGGGATTTTGAGATATGCGATGTAAATTGTGGTTTATTTCAGTACAGAATGTCTAAGGATCGAACCACGGTTTCGGTGGAACAATTTTTTGCGTTGTTTTTTTCTTATTTTATTTTAATAATCATAATATTTTATTTATTTGTGACAATTCGTATACAGGTGTCCCGTGAGGATTTACTCATTGCGATATCTCCTGAAATAATGGAGATATCGTCATTTTGTTTTTTTATTAAGAATCACAGAGGTAAGCACTATATATAATTTATTTTAAAATTTTTTTTATGTTTTGGTTTTTAAAAAAATATATTTTTTTAAATTAATTATTAAAAAAAAATTGAAGATAACCATTTTGTAGAGTTCATTTTTCTAAAGATATTGACGTTTCAACATTTTAATTTCATTAATCTTCTGATTTTTAATAGTTTTTCTAATTTTGAAAAAAAACTGTGAATTATTAATTGATAGCTATGGTAGTATGTAGCCATGTAGGCAATGAGCAAATCCTCACGGGACACCCTGTATACATATTTAATTTTTTTCGCCGTTTTCCTACTAACATATTATGTCCGTGCAGTAACTAACGCAGCGATTCCCAACCTCAGGTCGCGACCCAAATTAGGGTCGCGGGGGTTTTTATGGCGGGTCGCGAAATCATTACATACGTCTTACAATTTACATATTATTAAAAAAAAATAAAAAAATAAAAAAATCCTGAAATATTCTAATAATAAGAATTATAATGATCGAGGAAAAAATAATTTGAAATAGATTATCTAAATGATCTGTCGCAGGCTGTGCGTGGTCGTACCCGCATAGCGTAGTAACAGGTATATAATTTATACTTTTGCTCATAATAAATTAATTCCATATTACCTACATTTGAAAAAATTAATAAATTCATTTTTATAATACATTTTATACAAGTATTTCAGAATAGAATATAGATAGATAAATCAACAAATATACATATTTACCAATTTGATGATAATAAATAAAATAATGTTGAGTTTACAATAAATTATGAATTTTTTTTTTTTTTTGGGGTCGCCAAAAGTTAAATTTAAAATATTGGTGTCACGCTTATAAAAGGTTGGGAACCGCTGAACTAACGTATGTAATTTTTTACAGCTGCTACTCTCGTGTAGGAACTTACTATTCCCTCTGAATACCCCACGCAGTATTCCTTGAACGGTACGTAGCGGTGTTCGTAGGTAAGGTAAAGACTGTCATCCTCGGACAACTGGAACCCGTATTCCAGCATGTCCCTGTGTGAACATTTGAATTCTACAGGGTGCGGCAGAACCGTTTTGTTCGACCGGCCCACCTGACGGCCGTCCCCGTCTATTTCATAGGCGTGCATCGTGAACGGCTTCCTGTTATGACCGCACTCTGGAACACTGAATGATATATCATACTCGTTAGTGTAGTTAGGGGGAGAAAATTCTCCACTGCAAATTAACGTTTATTGCTAATGGTACCTATTTATAATGGCAATTTCAATTTTTTCTTTTTATAAGATTTAAGTCACATTCAATTGATATGTTGTCATTATTATTTAGATCTGTCCCAACAGGTACCACCAAATCGACCCAAACACCCGACTAAGAAAAAACTAATTAAAACTACAATTATTAAGAACAGAATTCTGTTATGGAGAATATTATATTAAAAGAATCTCAGGTTACTATATTATTATGTTTTCTATCTCTCTCTGACCCACCTATGCACGACATAGCTATTTTTTATTATTATTTGATATTAGCTGATATTATTTTATACAATATTATATAGTTTTAAATATAAGTAAACATAATTAACCTGATAACCTTTATATGTTTAGTTTACACAAAATATGTTTCCAGTTGGTTTAGTGATGTCGACAAGAAATGCTTTATCAATTATCAAAAAAAAACCTGTGAAAAAAAATATATGTGTTAAATTTGATTTCGTGATCTATCCTGTATTAAAAAAACATTCTGAGCAATGCTGGTCTATCACCCAAAATTTTAAAAATTATTTTATGTTTATATATTAGTAATATGGTAGGTTGTACTTACCAAGACTTTGAAAATATTATGTATATTTTATTATTATTAATATTGGAATTTCTATGGAAGAAAATATTCCTCATATTTATGTTTTTTTTTGTATATAATTAAAATTTAAGTTTAGAGTAAATCCATATCCCCAACAAAAACATAACGGATTAATATTAGTGACGTTATTTTCGGTTTTGCCCAAATGAGGTTTAAATGTATTATTTTTTATAGTTATTTATTTTAAAATGTTTACATTATAAGAGTACCTAATATTATTATTTGTTTATTTTTATACAAGTACTTAATATCATTATATTTTTATTATTATTTATGTGTATTCAATATTATATTTGTACAATAATATTTATTTTAGCCCTCCAAGACATAACATACACGAACGACGTACACATTATGCGAGTACAGTACCGACTGCAAGCATAACTATTGTATGGTACCACCATAGACTTGAAAATTATCATTTACCTACCCACAATACAATTTGTTTAATTTGAATGACATTATGTTTAAAAATCTAATACTAGATTCAATCAAAAGTTATATACTGAAAAGTTTATTGTTAAATTTATCAAAGCAATTTTTGTTAATATTCTACAAATATTGATCTCAACATTTTGAAATATTACACTGTCCCTTAAATTATAATTTTATATACTCATTTTAAGTATTTAAATAATTTTTAAGATATATATAATTATTTTTGGAGTATTTATAAAAAAATTTAGGCTAGATTTAGATACTTTATAATTTGATACAAGATCCGACATTAATTTTTCTCTATGCAGTTGAAATATATTTAAAATACATTAGGTGTACTTAGAACATACCATTGAAATATGAATTTCTTCTTAAATAGTTCATACTGTAACCAAAAATAAATTAAACAGTCATTGAAGTTTCAATATATTCAACATTAGATATTTAAATGGAGAACAACGATTTTAGTTATTTTATTGTTCCTAATTAAAAAATATTGTTTGTTTGGACTTGTAGCTTTTATGTATATTATTATATTTCAAAATAATTTTTATTAATTTCAAACTAAATATTTTAAGTTTATTTATACGTTGGTTATACCATGAACCTCACACCGTTCACCGATCTTTTTAATGTTTGAGTTGACCAAAAGTTAATACTAATATAATATGATAACAATATTAAACATATAAATATAAAGGTACTAGGCGGTATTATAAAATTATGTGATTATAATAATGAATAATAATATATTATATAATTGAATAAATGTAATGTTTTCAACGAGAATGAATTCAACCTTACAGCAGACCAGTTACCAGTTACCTAATTCCTCACTTTTTACATTTTAATTCGAACTTCAAGACCCACCCCTCAGCCGAGTTATATATATGTATAGGTAGCAGCTTTCATGGGAGTCTCCTCGGGAGGGGGTGCCAAGGCGGTCATTCACCGGGGTGGCATTTTATCCTGAGGGTAGTTTTCATACATACATATGATTGGACTTCAGCGACACTACTCACTTTACAATGACAAATTAAACAGGTACCTGATAAGTATAACACGAACGTCGAACACAATGGACGGTTTCTCTGCTTACCAAATTTATTTGGTCAATAGTTATTTTGATATTAAGTATCTTAATATTCATAGACATTAACACAAAATATACTGTACCACCTGACGTCCACTCCCAAAATAACTGTCATGTCAGACCTGAAACATGTTCTCGGCGCGCCAATGTGTGTATAATTTATACACACAAACATTCGAAATTTTTGAGAATCAGGACAACTCCTAACCTCCACCATCACTTTCCCACCTGATAACCACGGCGGCACCAGCTGCAGCCGTAGATACGCTTTATGTATAAGCATTATGACGTACTGCTTTATACTTATAAAAATTTAATAGGCCACCGTGGACTTACTTGGGGCCGTCGACTATCATCCGGCTATCACTGCAGCAACTGTTGACGCACGTATTGTTGTGGCAAGGTATGGCTCGCGAGCATACCTTGGCCCACAGAGCACCGTAGTACGTCACGTCGAAGCAGAAGGGAAACAGAAGGTCCGACGGAGACGTCGCAATCAGCCTTATTATTTTGTCTTCAAACATGTCGTACAGATTGTTCGGGGCGTCGCACACTAGCCCTTCGTAATTGTAACCCACCATCACCGTATCGGACACCGCACCGAACTCCGCCCGGAATTTGTCCCTCAGTAGCTGCATCATCCGCCGCATTAGCTTGTCGCCGTCCGCCCCGGCGTTACCGCAATTAATACCTAAGAATTCCTGGCCCAGCGGACAGCACTTCCGGATCGGCACGGCCGTCCGGTTGTCATCGCATGACTTGTCACCAACGAACGCCTCGACCGTGTGGAAAGTCCGATTTTTGTTCCGGCACACGTCTCCGCCTCCACTAGCGAATGTACTACTGTTGCAACAGATCTCAGCGTCGGCGGCCCACCAGCCGATCGCGACCACGAGAAACGCGACGGCGGTGGCGAAATACGAACGGACGGCATTCATCTCGTGCGCATGGGCAGCGTCGGCCAGTTCAGTATCGTGACTGCCGGCGGGGCGCACGTCAGAGATGAAGACGATTCGACGGGCCGCCGCCGACCGCCACGCTCTTATATAATACTATAAAAATGTAATAAATACTATACTGGTTTTCGTTGCCTAAAATATATTATTATATCATTATTATAGTGTGATGAATTACGATTATTATTTATATCACGTTAGGTCTTACGAATTGTCAATATTATTGTAAAATATATATTATGTCCAGGCGGGTTATGGCGTAACCACCGATGCATACATTTTATCACAACAAAACATTTCGTCAAATTCCGTGTAAAAAACATCCAAGTAAAGAAAAAAAACACATCTTTAAGCAGTATAATAACGTGATATAAAAATAAATGCTTATTAAATTGAATTAAAGTAAATTTATTTTGATTCAATAATTTATTTACATGGAGAGAAATAATTTGAAATTATAGTGTACCTACTCCTAAAGCCTTTTGTTTATATTTTTCAGATTATTTCGTGTGTTCGTCTTGTCATATAAAGTATATAATTTCTCGCCAAGTAAATAAATTAATGAAACGAAATAAATGTACTTTAATTAAATTTACTTAGCATTTATTTTTGATATAACATCATTATAGTGCTTAATATGATCTGATTTTTTTCTTTACTTAGATGTTTTTTACACGGAGTTTGACGAAGTGTTTTGTTTTGATATCACCATTTTTTTAAAAAATTGTAGAGTAATAGTTTTCTGGTGAATTTATTTTTTTTAACAACAGTAATAACACTCGAATATAAGTAATTATACTAGTTTAACTTAAAATTTACGAATTACATTAAATATAATATAACAAATTATAAATATGTGAAGTCTTGAAGCCGTGAAATAGCAATAATGAAATGGAGTGGGAAACCGGTATCATAGGATTCTATTACCCTCAATAATTTTTACCTCCCTCTGTAAATATATAATAGATTAAAGTTACAAAGGGGAAATATATACTGGAATGCATTTACCTACCCAGTAAAAATGTATTGTTAGGAGAGGGGGTATAAATATCCTCGGATACAGGTAAGCACGTATTTAATATTTTAACTAAAATATATAAAAATAAAATATAAATAGTTATTTTTAATATATGTGTTAAGATCAAATTTGGGTGAAATTATATATGTATTTAGAAGTAGGATAAACAACTTTAGTTAAATAGTTTTTTGTAATTTAAAAATATTAGGTACTCTTTTGTATTTTAAACCTTTTAAGTTTCAAAGTAGGTAAGTATGTCAAATGGACTGTTTTAGAAAAAAATTAATTCAACCTACTGTTCTACTAATAGTTAATCTATTACTTTCATAGCAATAATATAATAAAATATTTCTATAGAACGTAATATAGCTCGCCTTCGCTCAGAATCGTTATTGCCTCTTGGAATACAATGGTTTTACTATTGAATCCAAATTTAACACATCCATTACAATGAACCATACGACACCTATTGTACAGCAAAGCGGTCACTTTCCCATTTTTTATTTTGAATTTTATGAAAAATGTCATATGTTTTTTCAAAAATATCGAAATTATATACAATATAAAATAATTGTTTTTTTTTATAAACTTTTTAACACATATACTTTTTTGCTTACTGCAATTGAGTGTTGGAACTACAAAACATTCTATTGCTGGAATTGACAAAACCTAGTTAGATATTGACTCGGAAAAAACATCAATAAATTGAATAGCATCGTCAGAATAGATCAAAACGTTATTTCTTGGTGAAAATGACTAGTTAATCTAAAATCGAACCTTTTCGATATGATACTTAGAAAGTCAAAACGTACAGTTTTTTTCAGTTTTACGCTAAAACGTACAACTGACCATCTTAAAAGAATAAACACCAATCATTATTTATACCAAAACGAACTCTCTAAAACGCAATTAGATGTTATGCCAAAATTTAATATTACCTACCCGTGTTGTAAGTATACCTATAAATATTATAGGGAAGTAAAATAGTTAATCTAATCCAAAATGTATTAAAATTTAACTAAAAATATAACTCTAGAATATTAAACAGTAAACACATTTTAATCGTTTAAAAATAAATAATGTATCTTAAATAATTTGAAAAGAAACTTTTTAAATTATTTACCTATTTATAAATAGTTTATTTTTATTGGAAATGTTAAGATACAGAAATAAGGTTATCCTGAAAAATCAGTATTTTGACATTAGTGCGTTTTGGATTTTCAATCAATTATTGTTATCGATATTTGATTCTTTTGGTTTGAACATTATATTTTGTTCGTTAATCAAGTTAACAACATATGAAATACAATATATGTGTATACTGTATTACGATATAAATTGTATTACAACCGAGGTCCAAATGCTTCAAAAATTTTCAATTTTCAAAACATTTTTATAAAATAATCATTTTTTAAAAAAATAGTCCGACAAAAAAGGCAAAAGAAATTGTTTTATTATTGTTAATTATTTGTAAATTATATTTGTATTATTGTTGTTGATGTACAATTTTAAAATTTTAAAATTGAAATAATTACTATAAAATAAGTATTTACCTACATTAAATTGATTTATATTTACTAGAATTAATATTTATTAGCTATGAATTTTACTGTCATACTATAAAAAGTCACTCTGCTGTACAGTAGGTTACAAGTGGGTCACTGAATAATGGATGGAATTAAGTTTGAATTCAATAATATAATACCATTGTATAAGAAAAATGATTCTGAGAGGAGATGTATGTCAGTCTAGGTATAAGACACATTATATATTAATCTATGGTATTAAAAAAATTGACCTATAATAAATTCTAAATTAATCATATCACAATATCCATTAGGTTCTTATAACGCGTTGTACATCAACAACAAAACGTGATACTATCATAGATATATAATACTATAATAGTATACTTTAGAAGTTTCAAGTACCCTTGAATAATATTATACAATCACTACAAAATAACTAATTTGAACTTAAAATTACGTCCAAATTTGAACTTAAAATTACCATAAAAATAACTGTGCCCATGTATTTTTTAGATTTTTTGGTAACAGAATTAACTACTTTTGTGGAATCTTGTTTTAAATTTTCAATCCTTAGATATAAAAGTCGAACATTTTATACAAAATACAAAATAATTATTCAATTTTAAATTTGATAAATTTTGTCAACATTTGATCTTTAAATGCTTAAAAAAAAAAGAATTGTGCCTATGTATTTTTATATTTTTCAACTGCTATTAACAATAAATAACAATATGTATATCAGGAGCTTTGTAATAAATTTTTACACTTTTTGGCCCAACTTTATTGACATTCATAGAAAAAAAATCTAATAAAATTAAAAACTGAAAATGTCCCTAAACAGTTCAAAATAAATCAAAATATTTTAGAAGAGTGTATAGAAAATGCAAATATAAACAACCAGTGAAAGTTTCATGTATCTTCGGTCATTTGTTTTCATTAAATAATATCTAAGCGGGCAGGAACAAATTGGGGATTTATAGAAAACACACTAAGAACCTCAGCTTTGGCTCTAGGCTATAAAGCAGCTTAGTTTGCACTCCCACATTGTCAAGAAGCGTGCACTGTAAGAAAACACAGATGAACCATACAATGAGGATAATTTCAGGCACTGTTAAAAGCACACAAATACAATGGCTAACCAGTCTTAGCGCATATTTCACAGCCAAATTTAAGAAGGCTAGCAGCAACCTGCTCTTTACTGCTTGAGATAAAAGGAAACCCTAACCTACCAGCTCACGCAGATATTTTCGACCACCCAACAAAAAGACTAAAATCAAGAAACCCGGTATGAGAATCTCTTATAATACTGAATTGGACTTGAGGAATCGATGGTTAGTACAATAAATGGAAGCTTTAGTAAAAAACTCAGTACTCATCAAAGATCCCAATAAGAAACTTCCGGGTTTCGAACTTCCACGGTCGATCTGGACAGCAACTAATAGAATTAGGACTGATCAGGATGGGTGCCATTACCTGCTTCATAAGTGGTGGATGACTGAGTCTCCGTTTTGTGACTGCGGTGAACTTCAAACGATAAGACACATCGTAGAATCGTGCATTCGGATGAAATATCCTGGAGGGATGCTTGGAAAACACCAATTAGGTAGTGATGCGACTGAACGGTTAACCAATCTGGATTTCCGTCTATAAGTTATAATTTTTAGTTACTTAAAACTTTTCTGTATTTACCTAATTTGTAACCTAATCTGTTTTTACGTGTCTTTTAATTATTTATCTATTTATTTATTATTTATATTTTTAGTTATGTATTTATTTATTTGTTTATTTTTTTGTTATGCCGATGCCATAATGCTAATATAATATTGTGGGAAAAAACATCGTCGTGTCAAAATACCCATGAAATTTTGTTTTAACATTTAACTTTTCTTTAATAAATCTCACTTTTTTCACTGTAGAACGCATTGTATTTTATCACAATACTTCAAACAACATACTACGTCTTTTGTTATCAACAATTTTTACATGTTTCGTTCAAAAAAACTATTTATACTGGTTTCAGATCATAATAGACCCGATGATCCCAGTTACGTAGGTTTTTCTTATCTTTTGCATTACGAAAATAATAGTTATTTTGAATTTTGATACGAATATTTTCAGTCTACATTACGTGTTTTTATTTAAACCTGGAAGGGCGCCGATAAAAGTAACGAACGATAATATCGTGTTATGTCATAATATTCTGATTATTAGTCGCGTATCGTGTATCTCCAATATCAGAGTTGTTTCAAATTTTTTTTTGGTAAATAGTCAATCATATTATTCAATGTCTGAATATTCTACAGTTGATGAAATGTTGTTTCCTTTTAGAGGGCAGTAGTGCTCTTTTCGCATGTACATGAAAATCAAACCAAATAAATACGGACTCAAAGTAATGTGTTTATGTGACTCAAAAAACCACTATTTGTATAGGTAATGTATTTATTTATTGTGGAAAAAATAATATTCCAAACCCTAACAAGTTTGCAATACCTACTTTAAATGTGTTAGAACTTGTAACACCTATTTTTGATTCAAAAGAAATATGACTTGGGTTTTCTTAAATAGAACTAATTACTGAATTAAAAAAACATGGCCCAACATACGTGGGAACATTACGTAAAAATAAAAGAGATATACAATCACAAATTGTCCCTAACAAACAGACTGAAGTAAATACATCAAAGTTTGCATTTACCAAAGACATAACATTATTACCGTTAGCTCCAAAAAGAATAGATACGTGTTGCTTTTATCTTCTTTGCACAATACAAATACAATAAATCCGGAGAATTCAAAACCAGAAATTATTGAATTTTATAACGAAACGAAGGTAGGAGTTGACACTTTGGACCAAAAGTGTGCAGTCTATTCAAAACATCGACCTACACGAAGATGGCCACTCGCTATATTTTACGCCATGTTAGATATTGCTTCTGTGAATGCACGTATTTTATATAGTTGCAAAAATATAATCTCACCAATACCACGTCGAAATTTTGGTATAAAAATAGGAAAAGAGCCTATTATTCCTCATATGAAACGACGACTATTACAAGAAAGACTACCTAGAGAAATACCCCAAATTATTAAAAGAATACTAGGAGATAATACTGACGAAGCAACTCAAGCAACTTCTTCTAACCCTAACAAACGACGACGGTGTTACGTGTGTCCAAGTTCTAAAGATACGAAATATTCAAATATTTGTTCTGTATGTAAAAAACGGTTTGTAAAACACATGGCGTTCAAGTATCGAAATGTGTTTAGTGTATAAATACAGAGTAACTAAACATTTTTATTTATTTTTATTTTATAATGTAAGGAACTTTCCAAAAATATATTTTTTTTTTATTTGAATTTCATTAATGAACTAAATTAAGTGTTTAATATTTGAGTAACATTTAAAATATTATATTTAATACAAAAAAGTCAAGTCTTAAATAACAAACTAAGCTTTTAAATTTGTTTGTAGTTGGTTAGATAAAAAAACGTCCTGAAAGGTACAATAAGTGTTCGTAATATTTTAGAAATAAATGTTTTAAGATCTAAATTTTATTTTATTTTGTTGTTATTGTAATTAAACTTAACGGCAAACCAATGGGTAATACAGATTCGAATGTAAATATATTTTTTTAAATAATTTATTCACACATTTATAAATAATCATGTAAATTTGCAAGATTAAAATAATTTTGTATAAAACACTTAATATATTTGATAACAAAAATTATGTTACAAAAAGAAAAATATTGATTTCAATTCATAGAATATAATGAAAAAAAAAAAAAAAAATTAAAACTTATAGATAGTTCAAAGAATAATGATTTTTTTATGCCCTAGGGCCTAGAGTTTTAATAAATAATATAATAATATCTACATTCTATATACATATTGCATTTAAAAAAAAAATTATAAATCATTATAACTTTTATGAGCACTACCCACTGCCGCTTTTATGACGACCCAGAGATATTGTTCATTTGTGTCGGCTCACTGTGATCCATTGAACCTCTAAATATTTTCCTTAAGTCCATAATTACTTGGGGCTTGGCCACAAATATTATACATATAAATACACCTTGTAGACTGCTAACTGCATAAGTAATGTACCGTATTGCTCCTTCAATTCGTAATATAATAGTTAATACCGTAAGAAAATATGGGACTCCCATAATCAGAAATAGTTTGATGCTCATTTGAAATCTGTAAAAAATTAAAAATTAAAGGTTATATTAAGTCAAATGAAACGATTTCAAAAATTTTTTGACCAATAAATCAAAAATTGTTTAGAACATTTATAATAACTAGTAGAGAAGACGGGAAACTACTAACTTTAAATTTATGAAACTTTTAGATTAATTAGTAATAACGTTACATTATCTATATAATATGTTGTACTATAGTACAAGTTAAAAATATAAACTTTTCATTATCTTTATATTTTTAGACTCTTATCACCATTATTTTCTTATCTCACAGAGATTAAAGTATTAAATATTTCATAATGTTTAAATAATGTATATGTATAGGTTCCAAAAGAACTTATCAGACTATATAAGGTTTTTGCCCTATGTGTATGGAAAGTACCCAACTGTTTTCTTACTTCTCTCTCTGAAGATGAAAATTGTCTGTTGTTGAATCTGTTCGATTGAACTTATTGAGTTCAGCTTTAATTCTTGAAGAATGGTTAAAAGTTACAATGAACAAAATTAAATTGACAGTTAGTAAAACAAATACTGGTAACAGGATGAAAACTACACCTCCGATGTCAGACATATCTGGAAAAATATTAAATATAAATTGATAATTATATACATTTTATAACCATGCAATATAGAATTGTAATATAGAAAACTAGTCGCTCCAATCTTCATTCAAAGTTACATCGCAAAATGTTAAACTTTATACAAACACCTATACCGTCGATTATTATTTTTTTTCTCTTTATGAATCCAACAGAAATTTTTTTCACAGCTATAAAAATAAGTAAATAATGTAAAAATAAACTGTTGCAAATAATATATACTAGTAACAAATATTTTTTAATCAAATTAAATTCACATTTGTTAATTGTAGAGACAACAAAGGTAGGCAATACCTACTTTTCTTTGAAAAATAATCTGTTGAACTACTTATTATGGGTGTATGTATTTGTGTTTTGTGTATGTAAATAGATAATAACTAATATAAGTAATGTCGTATTGTCGTGTATTAATATATTGAACCTATAATCATAGGTACTATCAATTATTATTTTTAATCAAAAAATTTAAAACAACCCGTTAATACTATAGTGCGTTTCATAACACGCGTCTCGTGGTGTTTTCTTGTATGGGTTTCTATAACTAGAATTAAAAATATAAAAATTTAAAATTGATAACGAATATTTTGCACATTTTTTCGATCCTAGTTTGAAAACCCCTGATTTGAGACAAAACCGCCACGAAGCCCGTTAGCGACGAGTCGCTGTTGCTATGAAACGCACCGTAGATTGTGTAGGTACCACCACCCCCTTAAAACATTTGAGCAGACGCTGTAGTTAGGGTTCGGCGCCACTGTAGAGAACGAACTCTACGATTAAGGTAACAAAGTTTTGTTTGAATAACTACCAAATGCTAGATGGTGATAGACAATATATTATTATGATTTATGACTATGGCACTATTCATTGGCAGTTGGCACTATCACATAATATATTATATTAATCGGATTTATTTTTCTTTAACGCCTTTTATTCTTTTAAGAACTGTAGAACGTTACTCGTTATCTTTCAAAATTGTTAAATTATTAATAGGTATTGATCTTTATCATTGAAATTATTCATCATTATGAGTAGGTATGCATAGTTCAAAGATGTTACAAACTACTTGATTCACTTAATTTCCTTGGGCCTAAAACTATGACAAAACATTGGAACTCAGTTATGTCAGTCTGTTAAGATGGTGCATGTACCATGCCTCCTAGTATCTATTAGAAGAGTACAAGCTAAGTGTTAAGTGACAAATAAAAATATTCTATATTATGTCCACTGCCATTATCGATGTATTAATTTGGATATAGTAGATTATATAATATGTAAAAAGGTAAATTCAGCATCCGGTTTAAAAAATAATAATGAATTAGTTTTTTGGTACTATACAATTTATTTATATTTTTATCGAACGAAGTGCTAAAAGATATGCTATTTTAGAAAATATAATTGCATCTCTTGGATGGATTGGGTAGTCTCGGAACTTCGAAAATATTTTTCTACCGGCCCATAATTTGTTATGTGGCCCAATAGTCCATTTATTGGTCACATTTTAATATTAATAAATAATAATCACTTTATCGCATTTGTTGATAGTATAATTAAATGTGCTGCACACGATTTAAAATCTTTTGACCACCTATGAATACATTTTATTGTAGTCAAAAAATGTTAACACGTACACCGAGCTAAAATATACAATATTTAAATCTGAAAAAATAAAAATATCGACATTAATTTATTTTAAAATATTTGTTTAAACTTACTGTAATAAAAGCAACCATATAATTCAAAATTCGGTGCAAATCTCTGTAGCGATTTATCTTGTGAATATTCCAAAAAAAAACCAGTACATACCAAAATACTTGGGAGTACACAACAGTAAAAATGGTAAATAGTGGTACGTACTGATGTTGATGTATTTCTGTTTATTGAAATATTGTACCTAAATTAAAAACGTGTTGAAAATATTATATTATGCAGTTATATGAACTGTTATAATTTGTAATTTTAGATTATAAAAGCACCACCTTATATTAAAATATGGTGAACTGGACACTGGTATAAATGGTAATAGGTATAAATGTATAATATTATATAAGCCAGATTATGAATTCGAAATAAAATATTTTGATTTTGATTTTGATTTCAATTTTGCTTATTACTACCTATTATTAAATTATTAATAGTATATTGATTTGATAATTTGATGAATTTTATTATTTTTATTTATTTATTATTTGTTTTGTTGCACAATAATAATTAAATCATCTCTGTTCTTTATTTAGATAAAATCTAACAATTAAATATAAAATATAAATGTCTTTTTACGATTTTAATTTTGATTTCTACCTATGAGCCGTATGCGCTTTTCATATATGCTTGGATGTTAAACGGTCCTAAAAAAACAAAATTTCCTACTGATGAACAATTATTATCAACTATTTGGCTATTGTTGAATTTTAATTTTGAATTAAATAAATTTTTATAATTTGATTCGATTTTTCAATACAAATTACCAAACGATTATTATTTTGATTTTACTTATTGATTTTAAAAGTTTCAATTTTGATATTATTAATATTGATTTCGTAGAGGAATTTTATCGATATCTATAATCGAACAATAAACTACATAGTTATATATAGCAATTGGTAATTTAATAAATATTTTATACGCATAATTAACTATAATATTTAATAACATAAATAAATAATATATACTCCCTACTAGAATGGTACTATGTACCTTTTCGACTATAATATTATGCATGACTTGTTTCTTTTTTTTGATACATTACTGATGAGTATAGGTATTTCACACACGACTTTATATTAATAGTTTCTATTTATATACTTTTTTCCTATTATTATTTACTATAAACGATATATACCTATACGAAATATACATATAATATACGAAATATATCATGGGAGATTCTTGACAAGTCCAGTTCTTCTTTTTTTTAGATTCTGAGCGGAGCAATGGATGTATTGATTGTGTTTTGAATGATGATGTTTTTTTATTTTTTTATTTTTATGTCTGTCATAACGGTTTGTAGTTTGTTTCAGTAAAACTGCTTCGATTTTCTTCAACAGTATCATGTTGATACTGAATGAATTGAAGTGAAACTAGTTGGTGCATTCAGGAGGTCAAATTTTCTAATTGTTAATAGTTTTCTATAGCGCCAAGAAAAAAAAAACATAAAAATTAAGGAAAAATGGGAATTTATACTCAAAATCATTTTTGAGAAAATCGATTTTAGTTTTTGGTGTAATTTTAAAATATATGAATTTTATATACATGCATTTTCACTTGGTTGTTAATATTTGCATTTTCTATATACGATAAAATTTTCAAAATATTTTGATTGGTTTTCAAGTTGCTACTCTACTCCGCCCCTACACATAGTCAGGGCCGAATTTAGAACAAGTGCCACTCTAGGGCCTTTTAAATATGCCACCCCTAACCCCCCCCCCCCCCCTAAAAAAATTTTGTAATTATTTCTAATAAATTTATTTTATTTTAAAGAAATTAGGTTAATAGTCCCTATAAACAAAACAAATAATTATAAATTCTAATTAGGCATTAGTAGTATACATTTTTAATCTTATACCTATGTTATCTATAATATTAAATATTATTTATATTACTATTAAATATTATATAATATTAATTTACGCAGTTGCATAAACGCATAAAATATTTATATGATTTTTTTTTATTTCTTACAAAATTGTAGTAAAAAATATGTAAAATAATCAAACTTTATAGCTATAAGGATTGAAAATTTAAAACAAGGTTCCACGTAAATAGGTAATTATAAAAATTACTTTATCCACAATAATATCATCAAATATACTTAGTAATAGGCTGACTGACCGTTTTCACACTGAATCGTTTTTCTTATACAATGATATTATATCATTGAAATCCAAATTTAACACCATCCATTACACCGACCCACTTGTAACCTACTGTACAGCAGAGCGAGCGATACCCAATTTCCCGCCTTTTTACTGTTGAGAGAACCATGATCAGTATAAGTATATACTTATAAACTGATATTTAATTTTATTATATATTTCATATAATAATCTGTCTACTTATAATTATTTGTAGCTTAGAAGTTTATAACATCACATAAATATACACGTTATTGTTTTAAATTTTTTTTTACTATATTATGTAAGAATATAATTTACATACCTTATCATCCAGTAAATATCGAAGCATATTACGTTTAACCAGCATAATGTTGACAGAAATACAAAAAAAGTAATATAACCTAAAATTACACTTTAAATCAATCCAAAATATACTAACACAAAAATAATAATGAATAATATATATTATAATGTGGAACATGTATACACTATGAATGAAAACCAATAGTGAAAAAAAAAAATATTTTCATAATTTTATATCTTTTTGTACTAAGAACACTAAAATTATAACAGCTTCTTTTAACATGTAAAAAGTAGATAGTGTTTATTTTGAATTTCAAACTCATGTAAATAAGAAAAAAATGTTTTGAATCAAAAATTGCACCAATAAGGTATTTTTAGGTGTTCTATTGAAGAAATGATTAGATAACTTATAATTGATGGTTAAATGAGGTTATGTTTTTCAAAAAAATAAATAGAGTTACATTTATTCAATCCATAAGAATGACACCGATAGTTGGTATTATCACTATCCACATAATTTCTTATGAGTACATATTGAATTTTCTATTGAATATTGCTTAGTTTTAAATTGTTTCGCATCATAAGGAAAGAGTAAAATATAAAAACAATTCAAAGGTCATTAATTAATAAACAAAAGACAAAATGTGAGAGGTGGTCACTTTGGGCGACAACCCGACACGACGACGAAATACTATCAGAAATAAAATTATCGTATTGGTATAGCGTATTTTGTCCTCACATATTTTTTCCCAAATCAATGTATTACATGCCATCCAGCCGGGGTCCTAAGAGACTTGGATATATGGCTATATATTATGTGGCGTGCGGAAGTGTGGTAGGAATTGGACGGTTTTTAAGAGAAAGGGCTTAAGTCAAAAGTTGATACTTTTCAGGAGACACAAAAAACCTTATAACTTTTTAAATTTTTAATGTTTTTAAACTTTGTATTCATAATCATGTTTAATAAGTGTTTTGTTATTTTACTGTTAAATATATTTTAGTCTTTATTTATTTTCTTCAAATTATAATGACTTAAGACCTAGTGCATGTAATTTTATAAGACTGCCCTTTGTCATTAAAATAAGTTATAATTAGTGACTTAGGTCTTCCCTCATAAAAAAAATATCTGTATAACGATTTATGACCATACGCATTATATTTTATCTCTTTAACCCAATCCCACATGACATCTACAACAGTGGTACCTAACATTCAGCGCGGCTTGAAATTTCACACAGAGTTAATATATAAACTGAAAATGTCCAAAAAATTGACTTGAGATCTTTCTCTTAAAAAACCGTCCAATCAATCAAACAGCGATATAACAATGAGACATACCGAATAGGACGCACGTATGGCCTTGTTTGTTTTTCATGATCATTTGGGCGATCACGCAGATGTACGACGCGAACTCGTGGCTCATGTAGCACTTGACATAGTAGTTGCTGTTGTTTCGGAGACTGGGCAGCGTGTTGTACATGAGCAGCGTGAACGCCAAGCACACTGTAGACGCCACGTAACTCGCCCAATAGAACGAGTGAATCGAGGTGGCGCCCGCAGCACGTTTGTCCATGAACACTGTGTTAGCGTCGCATATGTACGCCACTACAGTGTCGGTCACCTGTGAAGGTTCATTCGGTAAGTTCCTGCACGACAGTAAGTTGTAGCGGGCACAAAAAATGGTTCTACGACAATTGAGCGAAAGAAAAAGAGCGAACGTAAATGAGCGAATGAACAAGAGCGAATACAAAATGAGCGAATAAAAATATGAGCGGAAACATATGGAGTGAAAAAATATAATATTATAATATAATTAAAATAAATTATTTGCACATACATATAATTATAGAATTAATACATTAATACTTCATATTTGTCATTTATACTATTATACATTTAAACTATCAGATGTACAAAAAATTATAATTCGTTGGTTTGACAAACCATAGTCATCACTCATCCACACTGTCATATAAAACAAATTGTTTACCATGAGTAGTCAATTTATATTCAATAGGCAATTGGTGTAAATCATCAAGAATTTGAGGATTAGGTGGAGCTAAGCAATTTCTTTGTCTCGTTCTTTGAATTGTACGTTTCAAGTATGCGATCCGTGGAAGTGCACAAAAAACAATTGGAACTACAGAAGATGACGACTCACTTATTATAACTGCAGGATTATCATGAGTTTCAACGGCGTGGTTTTTAATATTTGCGACTACTACTTTTACTTGATTTTTAATTATATCGGCAACATGATTATGATCGGAAGGGCCTTTAATAATGTCTTCGTATTTTAAATTCAAACGCCCTGTACATAGTTTGTCTATACATCGCCAATTTCGACATCTTTATGTATTTTTTCTTTCCAATATAAGTAACTATTTAACTGTAGGAAAAGTTTTCCTTGTTGTGACTTAATATACTGCATTATTACAGGTTAAAGACCACATTAATATAAGAACTCCGGAGGACGACTAAAATGACAAACCCAACATAATAGTACGACGACAGTGACTCAGATAAGACAAATGATCATAAACGTAATCTTATCGAATCGTTATCGCGGACTTTTCGAATCCTAAAATATTTCACTATAGTTTCACATAGTTATAATGTATATAAGTAAAGTAATATATTTTATATATTTAATCAATGTTAGTACACAGTATTTAAAGCGAAAACGATTATATATATGTTTTCGCTCATATTTTTATTCCCTCATTTTGTATTCGCTCTTTTTCATTCGCTCATTTACGTTCGCTCTTTTTCTTTCGCTCAATTGTCGGGATACCACGAAAAATACCTACGGTCGTTTCCCACACCATGGAAAAAGGTACACGTATTCATAGTTTTTTCGACGAAATTCGGTACAGAGTTGGATTTTTGAGGGAAAGAATAACGGGGATTTTGAGACATACCATGTAAATTGTGGTTTGTTTCAGTACAGAATGTCCGAAGATCGAACCACGGTTTCGGTGGCAACATTTTTCGCATTGTTTTTTCTCTAATTTTATTTTGATAATCATAATATATTTATTTGTGAAAATTTGTACGTACATATTAAAATTTGTTTGCCTTTTTGCAACTAATATAATACGTCCTTGTAGGAACTAACGCATGTAATATTGTTTAACTGCTACTCTTGTGCAGGAACTTACTATTCCCTGTGAATACCCCAAGCAATATTCGGTCGGAGGTACGATGTAGTTTTCGTAGGTAAGGTAAAGGCTGCCACCCCGTATCAACAGGAACCCATAGTCCAGCATGTCTCTGTGTGAACATTTGAATTCTTCATAGTATGGCTCCACCTTATCGTCATGATATTGATCATAATAGACACGGCTACCTATCCGCTGGTACTTGAAACTTTTACTGACGACCATCTTCAACGGCTTCTCGTTCACCGTGCACTCTGGACCACTGCATGATATATTATACTCGTTAGTTTAATTAGGATGAGGGAATTCTTCAGTGCAAATTAACGTTTATTTGCTAATTGTGTTTATAATGTCAAAAGCAATGGCAATGGCGAGTTTTTATTTTTACAAGATATACAACCACATTTAATTGATACGTTGTCATTATTACTTAAGCCTGTTCCAATAGGGGGTGTAAAGGTACCACCAATCTGACCCAAACGCCCGACTACGAAAATATTAATTAAAACTACATTTATTAAGAACAGAATTCTGATAAGGAAAAAGAGCTAACTTAAATAAAAAAGAAATTATAAAAAGTAATGGAGAATATTGTATTAAAAGAATCCGATGGCGCTTTATTCGATTTTTATCTCTCTCTCTGACCCACCCTCGCACAACATAGGTAATTTTCATTATTATCTGTTATAAGCTGATATCCTTTTATACAATATTATACAGTTTTAAAGATAAGTACCTAAACATAATTAACCAATAACTATAATATTATATTAACTTTACAGCAGATATGATTGGAAATGGTTTAGTGATGTCAACAAAAAATTTAAAAATGTTTTATCAATTATCAAAAATACATGTTATAGATTATATAAAAAAAAAAATATAGTGTGATATTAAATAAACCTTTTTATTTGTTATGAAAAAAAACCTGTGGAAGTCTATGCTTAGAAAGTATAGACGATGTCGAGTGAAGGTAGATCGTTATTGTTTATTGGCCAGTTCGCTGAAATGGATGTGTTAAATTTGAGTTCAGTGATTTATCGTTGATTACAAAAACGATTATGAGCAATGACAGTCTGTCAGTCAATATTTTATATTTTTGTATTAGTAATATGTGTTGGTTGTACTTACCGATGGGTACTTTGAAAATATTATAAAAATTATTAGTATCAGAATATCTATGGAAAAAAATACTCCTCATATCTAGGTTTTTTTTGTACCTAATTGAAATTAAAACTTAGTGTAAATCCGCATATATATTTTTGATAAGTGTTTGAAATTCAAATTACGTCAAAACGGGATAATTTATAATATAAAAATAAATCGCTGAATGTGTTGCTAAGCGTGAACCTCGAGAACGGCTGGTCCGATTTGGTTCAATTTTTTTTTAAGATGTTAGTAATTGCAAGGAGAAGGAAAGAAAATTTTATTAAAATTCACCGAAAAAGTAGGAAATTTGGATGTAAAAAAGACAACAGTGGCGCAACAGTGTATTATATATTAGTTGCTATTGGTTAATCGTTCATTTTTGTAATTTTTTTATTAATATATATAAAAATGAATGTTTTTGTGTAGATTATTAGACCTTTAGGAAGATGCCAGGTTAATTTAAAAATGGTTAAATTTGGTTTTTTTTTAATCATCGGATTTTAGTACTGTTAGGTTAGGTTAGAATTTTGTATTAGTAAACTATAATATTATTATTACCTATGTAGGTATTATTATAACGTTTATGCAGAAGTCAAAAATATGGTGATAACAATACTAAACATAGTAAACCATAGTAATAAAAGTACATTGCTTTATATTATATTCATATATATTATTTTTATATATAATTCTACTGTACGTGTGTTCTGATTGAACTCCTTCTAAACGGTTGGACCGATTTCAATGAATTTTTTTTGTATAGATTTGGGTGGCGAACCGGATTGTTTAGATTCACAAATCATTCCCCTAGGTCTAACCAGGGGATGTGATCAAACGGTGGACATTTTTGTTTATAAATGTTTGCCATGGGTTTTAAAACTATTATAATAATAATTATTGGTTGCCATGAAATCATTGTCTTCATTCAATGTATTTAATTTTTTTGTAAGCTATGTTTTGATATTATATGTACCGCAATTACGTAAATATTGAGCGTATTATACTCACATATAACTATATAAGTTACGTACATAAAACAATGCCACGTCTTTGTGGACAAAGAGGAAATATTGGTCGACAAACTCGGCATTCACAATTAGTCCAGCCGTTTAGGATGAGTTCAGTGACATACCTACTTGGTATAACTTTGATACCTTAGAGATAAATTATAAAGTCTGGTCTAACGCAGGTAGATTGCCTACCTGATAATATAGGTACTGCTGCAAATCAGAATTTTAATTCCAGGCAAGAGAAAAATTAAGATAAATTTTGAACACCATACACTGAATATTAAATAACAGTTAAATAAAAGTTTGAGTCATATAGAGTTGGTACCTAAAATTAACGGGAAATTAAGTGCACGGGATCAGCTAGTTAAACATAAAATAATGATTTCACATCAAACAATTTTTATTATTTAGCTGCAATTCAAAAACCAATGAATAAATAATTAATTTAATGGTTCAATAAAATGTAATGGTCCAATAATGCTTTACAAAATCATGTTCAAGGGATCATTAGCTCCCTATTGATTCGTTAGGTAAATGTTTAGTACCTAATTGTTCATACAATCGGCATTAAAATCATTTTTAAAGATATTTAAATTGAAATTTTTTACTTAATTATTCGATATTTAATACAAACGATTTTAGTTATTTTATTGTAGTTGAAAAATATAATTCGCAGGGACTTGATAGTTGATACTTTTTACCGTGTTCATATATTATTATTTCCTATACGCTATACAATTTTCAAAGTACTTATCTAGATTAATTTTAAGAAATGTACACATATTTACATCTTTCTACGTTATATATCTAAGTTAGTAATGGCTTATTAGTTAATAATAGCTACGTATAGTTATATTTTTAATAATTATTACCAAAGTACCTACAGCATAAAATTGGTTTTTTTTTTAATTTTCTTAAATTACCGTATTACCAACTTGCAGACAAATAAATTACTCATAGCAACGAAATAATAATGCATGTAACAAAATATACTTTGGTGGATAATCATAATAGTTCTAAAGTCGATCTTGTAGAATATACATACAATGGTGGTAATAGTAGTCCGAGCTCTATTATTATTAAGATCAAGAACATAGGTTTTATATGGGTTCAATAATATAACAAACACAATCGGATTATATCGCATTCAAAACAACAACTATTCATAGTATTATTTTTTTTATGAATGATTAAATTCGGAACGCTAATGATATCCTTATGCATTTAACTGTGTTGAACTCAGACAACAACAAAAATATTTAGTTATATTTAATTGTATTAAAAACTAAGAAAATTGAATACTGACAATGTCCGTAAACAGCTCAAAAAAAGTCAAAATATTTTTAAATTCTTAAAGTGTATAGAAAATGAAAATATAAACATTCAGTAAAATGTTCATGTATCTACAGTTATTCGTTTTTGAATAACAATAAAATAACAAAACCGCTACATGAAAAATCGAGTGAATATCCAATGTTGTAGGATTATGAACTTCAAATGCTCATAAAAATTTATTTTATTTCCTTGTTATATATGCTTTGCTATGTTATATATTTTGAGTAACATATAGGCAGACAGACTATACATCATTTGTCATTGAATTCTAATATTTTTAAAATTTAATCGTGTATAGAAAATAATAATTTAAGTAAAAGGAGAATGTTTCAAGTAACAAAAATCGTTTGTAGATAAATCGTTATTTTATGTGTGGATATTAATTATTATAATTTGAACTTCAAACACTCATAAAAAATGAATTAGCCTTTTCTTCAAATTTTGTTTTGTATTTCCAATAAGAAAAACTTATGGTACATTTTGTTTTAAATTTTCAGGATTAAAATATTAATTTTTTTTCGTGGTGAAAGGAAAAACCCGTTATTAGGAACATTGAATCTGAAGTTTATTGAAAAACTGACATTTGAGTTGGAAGTTTTTTGAAATAATACACATGACGTATAGGTTAGTATAGATATCACGATAAAACATAATTAAGTAGAAGCGGTTGTATAGGTATTGTGAGATGATTTACATGTTGTATATTCAATCTGCAGTTATACTAAAAAGTTTAGTTATCTAGAGAAAATAAATATATCTTGTATCAAAAGCTCATGAAACTTGATACACATTGTATTCTTTGCCCTGTGTCTGGATCTTTGGAGTATTTAAGTAAATGTTTACCCATAATTTATATTTATATACATAAAATGTATTTAGTAGATACTAAATAGTAAATACAAAACTTGGTGTAAGTTTAGTTTACCAACCAACAGTAAAATTAGTAAAAAAACTTTTATCAAATTATCTTGAACAATATTATTCCCTGTGGATTTAAGACTTTTTTCTTCTTCAAGGTTGAACCTAGGATACATAATATAGAGAAATTTAAAATAGTAATTTTGCATGGAATGTGGAATAATCATTATAGTTCTGTCTTTTACAATAGTTATAAAGTAGATCTTGTAGAATATACATAAAATGGTGGTAATAGTAGTCCGAGCTCTATCATTATTACGATCAAGAACATAGGTTTGATATGGGTTCAATAATTTAACAAACACAATCGGATTATATCTCATTCAAAACAACAACTGTTCATAGTGTTATTGTGTTATGTATGACCAAATTCTAAACGTTAGTGATATCCGCATGCATTTAACTGTATTGAACTCAGATAACAAAAAAATATTTAGAAAAGATACTGATAATTCCACAAAAAAAAAAACTAGAAACAGATCATCTTCCAAGATCTGACTTATTGAATTGAATTTACTACTTCATACCTAAATGTTAAATTGCATGATGTCTAGCTTACAAAGCTTATTAATTATTATAAAAATATTGTAACACTTATATTATATATAAATGTAAATAATTGTCAGTTATTTTATCTTGTTGGTCAATATTCCAAGTCTGTGTGACCGTATGCTATGTTGTCAAATAACCTAAAACATAAACACTACATGCAGTTTATACTGTTTTAATATAATTTCGGCATACGGACGATGCCGCTTAATTCTATTAATATATAAATTATCTACAGACATTTCGTTGAAGAGTTCTCATTTA